GAGGAGACCAGAGGCGTTGAAAGATGCACTCAACACTCCAGACTCCACAACGTGTGACAATGTGTGAGAGGAATTACAACATGCTTACAGAAAAATCATTTTATTAACACACTGATGAATAACACATGCTACTGGTGCAGCTTCTTATCTCTCATGGATTGCTGCAGTGTCTCTCTGCACTGAAAACACTGAAACATTGACTTTAGTTCAATGTAATATGTCAGCAAATTTCACATAGCTGTAGTTCTAAGCAATAATATTAAGTTTAAATGAAAAGTATTAGGTTCAACTTAATATTATTGCTTTAAACCTATTACAGTTATGTGAAATGAAAGTCAACGTTTCACTTGTAAAACTGATCAAAAAGAGGTCATCCAGCACATGTCTGCATTGTGTATAACCGTATTGTTACTGTGCAATCCTTTATACATTATCACAAGTTGTGGACCATGTTCCTCTTTTGTTGGCCCTGCAGTGACAACAGAAAGTATATAGACGTTTGAACATTCTTATATGGCTAATTTAGTGTGCTTCTCTGACAAGCATAGTTTATTCATTAGTCTGCCTTCCTTTATATGCTGCTCTGACCTCTCTCTGCTCTCGGGGGATCTGTGCTCTGCCCGGCTTTTTATAATCAATCCAGCAGCAAACAGTGGCTAAAAGCATATAGAGCAGCAGAAGGCAGGGAGAAGCAAATGGATATTTCCTGTCCTTCTGAACAATACAGACCATTGTCCTGTACACAGTAAATATACTTTGTGATTCTACACTACCTTTACAACCATAGATAAACCCAACTCGGACAAAGAAAACTCAATTCTTGTATCTTTTTTTTACATTTTAATGAGCATTGTTGGAGGGAGCCTGGGATATAAGATTTCTACTGCTAACAATTGTTCTTCTTCTTCCCTGTGTATTTATTATATTAAAACAGTTTAAGCTTAAGAATTAATTAATTAAAATTGGTCTATTGTTTGGTAAGTTCTTGTGCTTACTGTGTGCTTTTTCGCATTATGTTTGGTTTATATCTCTAAATAATACTATAGTTTTATTAATCCGTTTTTTTTGCCATTTGTTTTTCTCTTTGAGCAAATGGGAAGTACATTTCCCTTTCCTCAGACATATTTATTCTTTTTTCAATATCTGGATTTGATGCAGTCTTGAGTGTATAACCAATAAACATAATAAATGCAATATGCTTATTATGAATTGAATAAAGCCATCAGCACATTTCACAGCTGAAAATATCTTTATTTTATCATTTAAACATGTATTACATTTTGCTCTAAAACATTTAGATAAATATATATTTCTGAGTAAAATCTACAGGGTGTTGAGTTCAAAAATAAATAAACATGCACTGTAAGATGCAACAGGCCAAATCACAGAAAACGAACTCAAGGAAAATAGGTCAGTGCAAAAGAGGATGATTTGCTCGGAAATTAGACCCTCAGAAGAAAATTGCATCTGAACAGAAAATAACGAGAAGACAAGAGGTTTTTATTTTCACTGCTCTGAGGTAGGACACAAGCTTACAGGAAAACACAGAGAGAGAATAACACAGATCTGCTGTCATAAGGAGATGAAAGCATGTAAATGATGATCATCTCACAGTTTTTATATTCACAAAATACAAACCTTTTCAAACACAAAACTGTTACATGTTAAAGTACACTCATTGATAAACATGTTCATTTAAATACACTTTACACAAGAGAAACATGCCATGAATACAATCATTGTAAAATACAAGTACATTTTTATAGTAGGGTCCAAAAACTATTCTGCTGAGGTTAATTACTTACTAAAAGTATTCAACACTTGATTTTTGAACTTCTTGTATACATTCCAATAAGATGTGTTTTAAATGCTGAGATTGAAGTATAACTGAATATCTTGTTTGCACGCAATTGTATTAACATATATAATTCAAATATACCAGTAACATCTTATACAGAACAGCATCTGCATGCAAGATTGAACAAAAACCAAATAACATCAGCTCCAGTTAGACAAAATACATCTTGATAAAAGACTAGCACTTCCAAAACTAGTCAAAGTCAGACTTTAGATCTTTCAGAAGATTACAGTTGCAGCTGAGCTTACAGTGTGTGAGGAAAAGATCACATAAGAGATGAAACGTGTACACGTTACATCAGTGGGGGAGAAGCACCACTTTGCAGAGGAATACTATTCCTTCACACTTGACAATGTTTACATCCAAGTATTCAGAATATGACTTGTGGGTATTTCGATTAAAACCTTATTCCAATCGAGCATTTTCCGATCAAGTAGGATATCCCAATAATATTCACATTTAAGACCCTTTTTGTAGATGTATACAGTGGATTTGAAATACGCGCCTAACTTAAGGTTTTGTATTGTACTTTTGTAGGCCGACCCCAAAGTTAGCAACGCAAAGGGAACCCTTGACAAAAAGTGGGATTTTACAGTTGGATTTCCGAATATTGCAGAAAAACAGCTCTGTGTCAAACACATGTTTATGAAAATTATCACATTTTGTTCAGCAGGATAATCTCCACATATTTATAATTTGTAATTTATGAAATGTAAATACGATTGCCAGAAGTAAAAAGCTAACTGTAGGTCTACCATTGGTCACCTGGCTGCACATGACCACTGCTAAGGTGTGTCGGCGTGATGACGTTTTGTAGCCTTTTTCAGTAACTGCAAGACACTAAGAAGATTTGAACATTCACGAGTCGAGTACTGGCGAATACTGACGTATTTTATGTCTGAGGACAACATTTTAAAAATATTTTCAGATTGTGTCAAAGACCCTATGTCAAGCTTCTAACCACAAACACATTTAACCTGTTAAGCCCTGAGCCTGTTTTTCAGGTCTCAGGCTCGAAAATGACATTCCCAGAACAAATGACCATATCTTCCCTTCTAAAAGGGTTAAATTAATAATCTTTTTTCTCAAAGTAATGATAAACCTGTGAGTTGGATGTAGAAAAGTCAGAATCAATATAGATGTTTTTTATTTTAAAGAAAATTCAGATTTTACATAGTAAAAAACTGTAAATTATAGTGTCCGTCCAAAAATTATTTTGTACTTATAGTGAAAACCACCATTGGATGATGGTAAGGTAGACTAAAAGCTTTAGGAATCCAAAGTACAACATATAATAAGTACCCTGTATCAAGATTGATACAAAACAAGTGACATTTGACCTTTTTAGAGAGATTTAGCAAAAATAAACCACTTCTGGGGTCATTTGGGTGGATTTTCCATATCTCTGGCCCCCCTTGCTCGATTTTGATGGTTGACACCTCTTTCTGACCGTTAGAGCCAATAGAATCGAAGGGGGAGTCCCCCACACACACTCATTGTGAAGAGAAAAGGTGGGGGCTTCGCGCATGTAATTTTCCATCAGAGTGAACCTATCTCTAGCTTTGACATCTGGAAACGGAAAAGCAGTTTTAATGCTTATGGATTATCAGAAATCATTTCAAAGGGACACAGACACATTGGATTAACCTATGGATTAACTTCAGCAGCGTTTTTATCGTTTTAATGCCATTGAAGACCACTTTGGAGAGACTACAGAGCCAAGGTAAAAATGTTAGCATTTTTAGCTACCTAGCGTCACCTGTTTTGATGTCCGTTTTTGCTTATAACGTCGCCATTTCGTATAATTCAGTGATAATGTGGGTGTCCAACGATTCTGTGTCACCTCACGATGTGAAACGATGTCATGGATGTAGAGAAGAGATAAATAATAAGGTTTTGTGAGTGATTTTCGGTGCAGTAAGGTGTTAGCATTTTTCGCTCGTTGCTAATTCAGAGGCTCAGTGTTAGCATCGTGGGTTTTATTTTGAAAATAAAAAAAAATGATCAGTTAGATGAGTTTCTTCCCGTTACATGGATATAAAACATTCATAGTTTATTAAATGAACATGCCCTGAGACACTGTTTCCTGCAAGATGTTGCGGCAGTGCCCCGGTACCGGGGTCTCTCGGGCTTAACAGGTTAAAAAAAACGTTGACTTGGAGACGAGGGAACAGGAAGTGGTACAATGCTATTTCCAGGTTAGGACTCTGGAACTTAAGGACATGCAACAGCAGATGCATGCTTAAAGTAAGAAGAGCCCCCATTTCTGCCAACAGTAGGAGAATGATTCATAGTTCTGAACATTTAGAAAGACTTTAATGTCATTAGGTTTTTGGAAATGTGGAAAAAAAGTTGACCATTTGAAGAAGTTGATTGCAGGGATGACAGATGGAGCCTGTGTTGTGCGGGTAATATTAGGGAATATTCATTTTGGTTAGCTGTGTAATCATGTGGTAGGAAGTAAGAAAAAGGTCATTTTCAGAATAAGGGTCAAAACCTGAATATTTTGTGCATGTAAACGTACTCAATGACCCTGAACTTGCATCCAACCCTGTTTAAGTCAAACCAAAAGTAAATGGTGCTGGCTAACATTAATTTTCCTTCACAGTCGCCAACCTTTGAACATCTTTGGGACCATTTGAAAAGGTGAAACATAACTGTAACCTTATGAGACACATTCTGCGCTGCTCTTAAAAGTGCTGGAATAATGAAGATTCTCATACTGACAGAAACACCCAGCAGCAGGCCATGGTTAAGGCAGTAGGAAATACTGAGAAGTTTGTATCTGCTCTAGGGGGACATGCTCAGGGCCGTCCCTCCCTACAGGCCGGCCATGCAGACTGCGTGGGGCCTCACCTTGCGGAGGGGGCCTCATCTTGAGGAGGGTGCCTCAACTGAGCCGAAAATGTGGCGCAGCTATGCGCTTATGCGGCGAAAAGTGTGGCGCGGCACGGTTTCGCCGCTGCTAGGCTCCACTAGCACCCCGTCGACGACGACGACGACGCTCGCGAAACAGAGGGCCTCATCATATAACTTTGCGTGGGGCCTCATGTTGGCCAGGGACGGCCCTGGACATGCTTTAGTGGTAAGTACAAAAGATGATGAAAGAAACAGATTTGTGGTTACACTTAAAGGGGTTTGTGAGCCCCCAAAATACTGACTGGGTTGTCCTATTTCACAGTTTGTGGGTTGGTAGGCACTCCAGATCACCACATTGTTATCACTGAAAAAGTCACGATATGTCCCCTTTAAGAATAATACAATATGTTCTTTTAATCTCTTCTTCTGTTTGCTACCAGAACTCTGAATGTCGTGATGAGAAGCTAGCACTTTTTCTCGAGAATATCATATGCGATGTCTTTCACATAAGGCAATCTCTATTCAGCCCGTCAGGAAAGCTGAATCACTTGTCAAGTCTGTCGCTGAAAGGGCAGATTCAGTGTTACCGTGGCTTCTCTGGGCTCTGGGAGAGGTCTGTTTATCATTTCACATTCATTCTGTCGCACGTGCTCCTCGTTCATCTGCGACACCTCTGTGGAGCCGGCTTCAAACCCGGGCACGGTGTTGGCGACGTGAACCACGTGGACCTTGTTTCTGCCTTTTTTACTGAGGATGCAGCTGAACACTTTCTTAAAGCCTTTGCGAAAGTGCTTGGACACCAGAGCGTACACGATGGGGTTGACACAGGAGTTAGCGTAGGCCATGCAGTGGGAGAGGATCCTGAAGGCGTACGTGGTCTGGTTGAAAGGGAAGTCTCCGTACAGGTAGCACAGGATCACCACGTGGTACGGCAGCCAGCAGATGCAGAAAAGCACTGTGACGATGATGATCATTTTTGTGACTTTGCGTTTGGCCCTCTTGGATTCCGACATGCCGTCCAGCGGGTCCACGGCCGTCCACAGGTACTTGATGGTCCGAGTGTACGAGAGACTCACGATGAGCACGGGAATGACGTAGCCGACCAGGAACGTGCACGTGTCCAGCAACTTCCTGTTCTGCTCCTCCCAGCCAGGGATGCACACAGTGCTGTTGGCGTAATCGATCAGGTCGTAGTAACTCAGATACGGACCGGCGAAGACCAGAGAAAGACACCAGATGATCACCATGGCAACCACTGCGTTACACGGGGTCCGCAGCTCTCTGGAGCGCAGTGGGTAACGAATGGCCAGATACCTACAAAGAGGTACAAAATATACATTGAAGTGGGATCCAAAGCACATATACAAGCTGATAATTAGCGGACATGCTGAGCCAGTGGGAAAACTATCGGCTGAAAGAGTCTCATGCGTTTTTAATTAGAGACTTGTATCAAATCAGCAGATGCCCATTTTTCTGTAATGCCTCAATAAAACTAAAATCTCAGAAGAAGTAATTAGGTGTTCTTGGGGGCAAACATTTTTGTTGATTTATGAGATATGTTTTTGTTTAGTTTTGTTTCATCTTGGGCCATGCAGTGGGAGTCATTAGACCAATGTAAAACTCATAGTGCAACCCAATAAAATGTGCTTTCATGCATTGTGATTAACTTCGAGATTTTTCTTGGTGTCCACTCCAAATCTAAAGTAAATTTACAGTACATTCGGGCTTGTTTTAGAGTTTCACCTTGCATGTTATGACTTAAATGTGGGTTAGGGTTAGACAATCTTCCTCCACACTCATTGTTATGAGCCCTCTTGCTCACACTGAGGCTTTTGTGTTAGATAATGATCATTCAGCACAGCCGTTTGTGAGTTTTATTGAATAAAATCCACCTTAGGGAAATATGCGATACTGGCTGTTATATCCACAGAAAGGTCTAATCTGATTGTAAAGACATCCCTTGGTATAGCCATGACAAAAGCACAAACCATGCGTTGTGCTGTGTCTAGATGTGGCTCAGCAGGTCGACGATAATCCCACCATCCATCATGTATATCACGAAGAAAGAGCCTGATGTTTTCCTGGCAGAGAAGTCTTTCAATAGTCTGTCACCACACTGATTTTCCCGTATTATGGCAACGTTTTTGACTCATCGTCACCGGATATCTTACTCTGTGAACTTGTAAAACTATATTTGCCATATTCAACACAGGGAATATTTTGGATGCTTTATTTCTAAGAGGCAGGTCACGTGAAAATAAATCTCCTCCTCCATGTGCTTTTGCAGGACACTTCAGCCATAGCCCTCCAGAATAAGAGGCAACAACCTCTCTGGTCTCTGAAAGCTCACTGAAATGGGGCCAAGCACTCCATGTCTAACATGAAAGGACCAAAGCAGATCAGTGAACCTACTTGTCCCTAATGAGGTCCACAACTGCAGGTACATTTATCTGGAAGCTTGGATGAAATTAACAGATTAATGAGAAAACATGAGCAAATGATCTGTCTGTTAATGTCTGACAAGATGCAGACTGGGAATGTGTTGAACAAGATTCTGAATCACCACATTTTCGGTGAAATGGGGCCATGGCTGAATTTCAAAGTAAATGGCACTTTATTTGCCATTATTGGGCAAAAAAGCCATAATAACCTTTCAGCATATTGTAATTCAAGTGGTACCCACTTATCACGTATGTCGCTCAACTCAAAGCCAAATTATAAGCGACATTTTCTCTGCATCTCTGAAACACTTCACCGAAGTCTGTCTCTTACTTTGGGTTGCTTTGCATTGGTTGGGAGTTTTTGCCCAAGCTGTAAGTAGTAACTCTTCCTGGGTGATATTTCCCTTGTTGAATCAGAATTTCACCATCTGAAAGGATGTGCATGCGCTGCATTTTCTGAACAGTCAATAAAAAAGCCTCCCTTTCTAAAAATGACCTGTGGTCAGCTAGATTTTTCCTTTTACATGTCTTTCCTAAAGGCTGAAAACAGAGTCAAGAGGAGGTGCAGAACTCTAGTTTAAAAAAAAAAAAAAAAATGTTGTGTATTATGCAATTTTGCCTTATGATGCAAAAAATATATATTGCTTACGCTTTAAACAAAGAGTAAACAATTATCTCTGAAGATGATTTTTAAATTGTAAGCATTTTTGCACAAATATAACTCATTATATCCTATTATCTCTGGCTGTTTTGTACTGTTACCTTACATAATTCAGTTTTAGTGCAAATAAACCGCCTGATTAGTAAAAAAAAAAACAACAGCAATGTTTTTTATATTTTATTGAATCATTTTCGCATGGGAACTGGCATAAAATCACAGTAATCGTTTGATCTTGCCTGCAGGCTCACTGCAGCAGCAAATAGCTTCCATTAAAAGACTGAGTGTGTCTGAATGTGTGTGTGTGTGTGCTGCTGTTCACTCAGGCTGATCTGTGATTTAATTCCTGCTGAGGTTACCTGGTGAAAAGTGTACCTGCTGTTGCCTTTTTACTTTTTACACGGGAACAAAGGAGGAAACAGCGGAAATCAATTCACATCTCGACTCAAATGTCCTTGCTTTTTTCCGGACTGGGTCTAGCTGGCATCCTGAAAAATCCATCGCATCCTCAAACACAGCCAGTGTGAGCAGAGGGCAGCTGCACACTGACTCTGTCCATATTGACTGAGCTGACAATGTTTTCCAACAACTATAATGAGGGCTCAGCATTTACTCTGCAAGGGATGTAGTTTTCAGGAAGGATAAAGCATGATTCTCTCATAAGATGGCCAATTACAGATGCAGCACCTCTGTAAGGTCTTATGGGTCTCTGAATTGTTCTACCTCCGGGGTCTTGCTGTTCTCAATGTTCCCGAGGTTGTTTTTCATCTTCAGATGAGACAAATAAAATGTGTGAAGTATAGTCATAGCATGAATAAACAGAGTGGGGACTTGAATAAAAGCTTCCTTGCAGATGTTCTTGATTATTGGGAACTCGAGGGGAAAGAGTTGAGGCAGGTCATGGTAATCTCATGTATGAAGTAATGAATAAGTAAAGATGAGCCCTTCTTGTTACAAATTGAAAGTTTAGTGGGTGCTTCTGCTGAGTATAACCTTGGCTGAGCTGATATTCTGTCTTTCAGATGCTGTAGCAGGCTCTGTTTTAAAGCTATAGTGAAGTTACTGGAATCATATGAAACTAAAAAACCTACATAATCCATAGGTTAGCTATAAATAATAAATAGATAACGCTCTAGAGTTAAGCTACATTCTGAAGGCGAAAAAAGGGCATGTGTCACAAGTTAGACACATTTATTGTTTGTTTGGTTTGGCTCATCTTAACTCTCCTGTCATTTCAGATCCCGCCTTCCTCCAGGCTCTTGCAATCAGCTCACTTCCCTCACCTGGTCTCCCCAGCCCTTCCCCTCACCTGCTACTCATTCCCTCATTACTCCACAGTATTTATACCACCTCACTCTCACTTGTCCTTTGCCAGATTGTCTTTTCTGCCAAGCTCTCCAGTGTTTGTTATTCATTCTTGTCCTGCCCGGTTTTGACCCCTGCCTGCCTGTATTCGGATCTCGAGTTCCTGCCTGCCCCCTGTTTGGATTTGGTTGCCTGTCTGACGGATCACCTGGTTCTGAGCCCTGTTCTGCCTGCCCCTTTTTGGATTTGTTTGCCTGACTGCTGGATCTCCTGGTTTTGACCCTGCCTGTCCCTGACCTGAATAAACTGAACATTGCTAAACACTGGTTGTATCTGTGTCGTGCTATTGGGTTCTGATCTGTACCTGTGATCGTGACAGCATGGCCATATTTACAGGGGTACTTTGACCTCTCACTTCATATCTGAATGAGAAAAGGTGCTATCCACAAGGCTCCATTTTAAAGTCATGCATACTTTATGCTAATCCCTTTCAGTTTTGGCAAAACTCTGCAGTTTTTTGCATACAGTACAAATGTGTTAAGCCTATTCTTGTTGAATATATTTCTGCATGCTGGGTTCCCTATACATTTTTAGATGAATTCAGTTTAACTGGCCAAGCAGGAGCCTTGTGCATTTAATCATTACATTATATTACATTACATTACATAGCATTTAACTGGGTTTTATTCAAAGCAACTTACAATAAGTGCAATAAACCATAACGATTCAAACTAAGGACAACAAGAACAGTGCTGACATATTTACCTTAAACAAGCAATATCGTTGTAAGTGCTGGTGCATAAGTAAAACTCTTAAGTGATCTTAATATTTGTTTTTATCTTATTCTTTGGTGGTGATGCTAGTTTCCATAGTAGCCATTTAATTGCAGTGAGGCCATTTATTGCAAACTGACTGCACTATAGCCTAATATTAAAAGCTCTAGGATAATCAAAAACTACAGAGTGAGGAATTTAAGATGAAGGACTTCCCTAGATATATTGACAATAAGGGTGTTTCTGAGCAGTTTCCAGAACAAGAATGCTCGTCAAAACATACAATTCTAACAGAAATCTCAACCTTTAAAAGGTTTTTGACACCAAATCACAGCATGAGTTATTCTCTGGTGTTCATGAGATATTATCTGGCGTTCCTCTAGGTCTTGGCGTTTAAATGTGGAATTTTGGAGAAATCTTTTAAAATAAATTCTAGAGAGGTGAAACTTTGATAAATGTAGCAATACATCTGTGTAACAAATGACATGAAACCCAAAATTGCTGCAAAAATATATAAGACCTTATAGAGCATGAGCATGGTCATCATACTACGTTTATAATATAAGCCCTTGTGCACTTTTTACAATTTATCTTAATTAATGTGTTAATTAATTTCTATTTCTGATGAATGACTAGGACTGTCGCAGATTTTAATTAATTTCAATGAGAATATATAGGTACAGTTTTGCTTCCAAAGAGGCTGTTTAAATAGATGCATCTCTGCACAGCCTATAAAACATCATGAGTCAGGCATTAGCTATTATTTTTTAACCTTATTATTGTAAAGTGCCGTCCATCAACATGTACAACAGCTTTGGCACTGCATTTAGCATAGATGTTTTCACTCCTTCAAATCGATAAAATGCGCCCTTGAATTTTTAAATAATTCATGAATCCGTTCTCTTTCACCTTTACGTGGAGGACAGAAGAATTCCTTTGCTGCAGCAAAACGCATAACCCTGAAAGCTTTAAATATGGCCAAATGAAAGGCAATATTAATTAGAGTTAATTAAAGGGAAGAGAAATTAGTCTACGGGTATGCATGAATTAGTTAATTTAGACCTTTAACGGTTGCTATAATGATATTTTCACAGATTTTACCTTGTTACAGCTGATACTTGCCTCTCAATGTGCATTTCTGAGACGTTAAAAGCAATGGAAAATAGAGATACAAAAGTGAGTACAAACTACAGTTCACTATGATAATTGAATAAGAGTTGCAATTTATCAAGTGAAAATGTCAAAACAATTAGTTGGTTAATTGTACAAATTATTGACGGATAGATTAATCATCAAAAGAATCATTCATGTAGTTGCAACAAACAGGAAGCAAAGGGCACCATGGGAAATGAAGCAGGAACAACATGTGATTATAATAATTATCTAAAAGACATTCTAAAAGCAATTATGGTTTCAAATGGCACACATGAGCTTGGTAGTTATGGTTACCATTATCTTTAAAAAGTAATTTGTTGTTACAACAATTAAATATCTTCTCTTCTGAGGATAATAACTGTAACATACCTGTCAACAGAGACAGCAGCGAGTGTGAAGCTGCTGGCATACATGGTGAGGTTGATGAAGAAGTGCACCACTTTGCACATGAAGGATCCGAACACCCAGCCCTCCAGAGAGTAGATGGTGGCTTGAAAAGGAACGCAGAAGATGATGAAGAAGAAGTCGGCCACGCTCAGGTTGAGTATGAACAGATTGGTTGTGTTGTATCCCAGCTGCCCGCTCCGCAGCAGCACAGCCAGCACCAGACTGTTGCCGATGGTGCCCAGCAGGAAGATGAGGGAGAAGACCACCGACACGATCACGCTGGTGGGATTCAGCTGGTAGCTGTCAGAGACATTAGTCTGCCCTGCTTGCCTGCTGAAATCCTCAAAGTCAGACATGTTGCAAGTCTGAAAAAGGAAAGAGACAGAAAAAATATAACCACGTCTTTTTGATTGTTTTTTTATGTCTCCTTGGAGATGTTAAAACACATCAACTGAGAATACTGCTTTGCAATTACATTTGCTACATTTCTCTTAGGGATGCAATGTGTAAAATATATAACATAAAATAATCTTAACACTATCAACTGAATATGGAGAGGTTACAGTGTTGGTGTTGTGTCAAAGATGTCTTTGTATTGTGTTGCTGAAATATCTAACAATTGCCCCAGTCCAGAAAACAAAAAATGAAGCTTCCTAGGGGCCTCGTCAATAACGCATCAATCATTTTTTTCATAGTTTTTACTTTAGTTAATAGTTGGAAATAAGAAGTACAGTAAGCAACTTGACTCTACTCATCCTCCCAGCCATCCGAGGCTGGCCCACCAGGAGTATAGCGGGTGATTTCCCCACGAGACAGACACGTTCAGTTGGCAGTTGGCAGTTGCTAACCGCTAACTTTAATGGTTAGCAACTAGCATATGGCAGTTCAACCCAGTCTCACGGCATTTCGTGTTATAGTAACGACATTTAATCTATTGGTTCGTGTTCACCAACACGATTTTCCCCTTTTTTTCGTGTCACACAGAACGATTTTAAAAGCAATGTATTTCTATTGGTAGTGTGTTTCGTGCCTGCACCACGTCTTTTTGTCCGGTCGGGTCTTGGAAGACCGGAAGCTGTGTGGTTCATAAAAACATTTTCTTACTCAATATCAAGCCACGATTATTGTTTTTATTTTAAATCGTATAATGTCGGACTTTTTTTGCCATCCGTGAGGAAAGGAAATGGGGCGCAGAATACGGAAATATGTATTTTTTAAATCTTGTTTTCCTTCTAATTTGTTATTCTTTTCTAAATAACACACTGTTATTTACTCAACAATAACACACAATTATCCTTGTTTTTATTTATTTGTTTAATTATATAATATCGGGCTTTTTTGCCGTCCGTCAGGAACTGAATTTCAAAATAAAGTCACCGGAAACAGACGTAGGCGATACACACCCACTGAACTGATTACCCAAGATCCTCAGCTATGGTTGAAGCTCGGTGATTGGATGTTTTAGCCGCAATGCACGTTGGGAAATGGTGTTAATGCGATATGAAATCCGAAAACATTGTAATACACGGTTCGGCTGCACTAAATATTACACATCTGCCGTAGTTCTCTATTTATAGAGCCCTGATTAGAAGACCTTTGGACAAACTGGAAGAAATGCAGCCGAAACTGAATACGTGACGTGGATCATAAATATATCAGCAATTAAACAACATCTTCAATTTCTCTTCACACAATACGTCTCCTTGCAGTATCAATACTAAATCGGCTGACTTTTATATTTGATCCAATTGGTAGATAGGTAGCGGTGCACAGCTGATAGACACCCATTCGAGTCCAGTTTTGGATAGTCTGCCATGGTTTCATTCCATTTCATAGAGCTGTTTGATGCTCGGCGTAACCTCCAACTCCAACATCCAATCACAGAGCTTGAAGATTAATCATGGGGATTGTCAAGCAAAGGGACTGTAGTCCCAAACGATAGCTGAGGATTATGGGTAGTGTAGTGTCTTCGGCCATCCTAAACTCAGAAAAAACTATTTGTTTCTCCGAATCGAAGGGGGAAAACACAAAAGTATTGTACACAATTTAAACCAATCAATGTTGTGTAATTAACAAGGATAAACTGAAGTTTTTAGTTGATGAGTATGCAAACTTCGAGAACGGAAATACTGTTTTCACCCCAAGCTGTTGCCTGGCAACGCAATTCTGTTGATAGTTATTTCATATCGCATTAACACCATATCCCAATCTGCATTGCGGCTAAAACATCCAATCACCGAGCTTCAACCATAGGATCTTGGGTAATTAGTGCAGTGGGTGTGTATCTGTTTCCGGTTATTTTATTTTGAAATTCAGTTCCTGACGGACGCCAAAAAAGCCAGAGATTATAGAATTAAACAAATACATAAAAACAAGGATAATTGTGTGTTATTGTTGAGTAAATAACAGTGTGTTATTTAGAAAAGAATAACAAATTAGAAGGAAAAAAAGATTAAAAAAATACAGATTTCAGTATTCTGAGGCTCTGAGCCCCATTTCTTTTCTTCGCGGACGGCAAAAAAAGTCCGACATTATACGATTTAAAATAAAAACAATAATCATGGCTTGATATTGAGTAAGAAAATGTTTTTATGAACCACACAGCTTCCGGTCTTCCAAGACCCGACCGGACAAAAAGACGTGGTGCAGGCACGAAACATACTACCAATAGAAATACATTGCTTTTAAAATCGTTCTGTGTGACACGAAAAAAAGGGGAAAATCGTGTTGGTGAACACGAATCAATAGATTAAATGTTGTGACTATAACACGAAATACCGTGAGACTGGATTGGGCAGTTAGCTAGAATTCAGCCCGAGCAAACCCTCGCCATGGAGGCCCGAACCAAGGGTATTAAACTAAATCAGTAAAGTTGATGTATAGCTGCCGTTACACAGGTTACACAGGTTACGCAGGTTACACAGGTTACACCCTGCACTCGACCAGCTAGCTGTTACTCCCGGTTTTGGTGTATTTGCTCGCCAAATTGCCACCACAACAGGCGCTAACTGAAGCTCCCCTCCAAGGAAAGCAGTCCCTGTCAGCTAGGAGGACAAAACATATACACATTCACTCGTCTCGACTAGCCCGGAACCAAGCTAATACATAAAATATCAAATGTTAATGCCACAGTTAGCACAAAGATGAGGCTAGCGTTAACTTAAAGTGGACCTATCATGCTATATTTAAATGATATATTGTAGGGCCATACCTATATAAGGTATATTTATACGTTTCTGTTTTCAAAATACCAAACAGATCATGCATTTTAGCCATGCCTCATTTCGCTCTATTTGCTGTTCTCCAGCCCTGTTTTTGCAGGGGGCTGATTCTGTGAGCTGCAGCTGACCACGCCCCCCTGCAGGAGAGGGGAGCCGCTCTGATCAAGTCAGAAGAGGGGGAGAAAAATAGATCTCCGTCCTCCGTGTTTTATTCAACCCGGTATCACGGCAAGACGTGAACATGTGACGATCTACCATGCTGGGAGACGTGAATATGTCACGGTTTCGTCCCTTCAAACGTGACAGTTACACGGTATTGTTAACATGGCCCAACCAGTGGAGAAATACCCGGAAGTGCCTAGCAAATGGTCTACCGCGCCTATTGGTCGGTTTTTATTGTCAAAATTAGATGTTTTTAATTTATTTTTTAATCGTCACACTCGATTTTGCCGATTTTCTTGTTGCCCTAGCTGGTCGACACCTCTTTTAGCAGAAACAAAGGCTACATTAATGTATTAAATCGATCTTAATCCATGTGTGTGGAGGTGAGGATGTGGAATTAACGGACGTGACGTAGTGCGATTGCGTTGCCAGGCAACGCAATTTACAAACTCTTCAACTACAACCCTAATTATATTTAAAAACATTTTAGACAGCCTCACGAAATACTTTAATGTAAATTAAAATGTAAATGTGAAGGAATGTGTGTAATGTGGTGATTGACATTATTCACCCACGGATCTATGGGTTGGGGGTATTGTTCTGCAGCACGGACATCTTAGTTAACCGGACTCCTGTTGATGTGAAATCCGAAAACATTTAAAAAAAAAAAAATAATACTTTATTCCGAGTTTGCTTGCTTTTCTCTTTGGAGGTCATCACATAACGGCATTGTAATACACGGTTTGGCTGCATTAAATATGACATATCTGCCGTAGTTCTGTATTTATAGAGCCCTGATGAGAAGACTTCTGGACAAACAGGAAGCACATGCCGCCAAAACTGAAAACGTGACGTGGATCATAAATATATCAGCAATTAAACCACATCTTACATTTATTTTCACACAATACGTCTCCTTGCAGTATCAATACTAATTCGGCTGACTTTTATATTTGATCCAATTGGTAGATAGGCTGTATTTACACCATAATGGTGCACAGCTGATAGAAAGGCACATCTAGTGGTTAAAGCACGTTATTGAATTTTATTATTTTATTATTTTTCACAAAAATGAAACTATCAATAGCAGAAACAGAATTAACTGTCATTAGTAAACCACCCAAAAAAAAAGATCATAAATGGTTTTGTTTTATATATATTTTAAGGATAATAATAGCAATGTAACACTGTCTATGACACTTACTGTATAACACTGATTTGAAAAACATACAGAAAAAACTAATTCACTGCCCTTAATAAAGTATTTAATACATTTCAGGTGTGCTGTTTTGTTTAGATCATTGACATCTGGAGCTCTTTTAATGTCCTTTTTGATTATTGTTACACCAGGTCTTGTCAAAACCTTTATTCCATATTCAATATCCATTACTAAACAAAACAGCAATTCTACTCCACTACAATTCAGAGGTTAACCTGGTATTTTTACTCCACTACATTTATTTTAGTTACTTTGCAGATTCTGATTAATGATGTGAAATATAAACAACCCTTAAATCAGGCTTTAGTTACACCTGAGTAAAATTCAGGGAAAGGTGATTGTCAAGTGCCAACAATCAGGAGAGATATTTGATAGTTGCTGCTTGAGAAGACTAAACATTTATCTGCAGATCCCTATAAAGTATATTCATTACTCGTTATTCTCTACTAATAGTTAATTAAAGACTATATATAATGGCTATTTTGCATATCCCTTTCAAGATTTCAAGATTTTCTAAGGATCATTGACATATCATATACACAACTAATTCAATAACGTGCTTTAACCACTAGGCGGTGCACACAAGGTACACACAGCCATAATAACTTTGTATTATTAGTGTAGGACACTTGTGTATGTATAACATCTGAAGATGTGTAGTTTTATTCATGTTTTCACATAATTGTACAGGATATTGCTATATTATTTCACATGTTTTACTTATAATATCTGATTTGTAAAACATCACAGACAGAAAGGTATATCCGTCATTTAACAGTAAGCTATTGAAATTCTGAATCCATAGATGTGTCTCCCATCACCCAAATCCCCTGACTATTCTCTCAACTCAGTATTTACATTCTTATATTCAAAGAAAATCAGTAATATCTTTAAAAACGACAAGTCCTTTATATCAGCTGTGCACCGTTATGGTGTATAACGTATTTTTTTTCGGATTTCACATCAACAGTAAGTCCGTTTAACTAAAATGTCCGTGCGGAACAATACCCCCAACCCATAGATCCGTGGGTGAATAATGTCAATCACCACATTACACACACCCCTTCACATTTACATTTTAATTTACATTAAAGTATTTCGTGAGGCCTTCTAAAATGTTTTAAAATATAATTAGGGTTGTAGTTGAAGAGTTTGTAAATTGCGTTGCCTGGCAACGCAATCACACAACGTCACGTCCGTTAATTCCACATCCTCACCTCCACACACATGGATTAACATCGATTTAATACATTAATGTAGCCTTTGTTTCTGCTAAAAGAGGTGTCGACCAGCTAGGGCAACAAGAAAATCGGCGAAATCAAGTGTGATGATTAAAAAATAAATTAAAAACATCTCATTTTGACAATAAAAACCGACCAATAGGCGCGGTAGACCATTTGCTAGGCACTTCCGGGTATTTCTCCACTGGTTGGGCCATGTTAACAATACCGTGTAACTGTCACGTTTGAAGGGACGAAACCGTGACATATTCACGTCTCCCAGCATGGTAGATCGTCACATGTTCACGTCTTGCCATGATACCGGGTTGGTTTTATTATAGCCTATTATTATATAGAGTCGTTATTCATTTGTTTTAAAGCTCAATAAATAACAAAGAAGACCTTTGACCGGCACTTTTCTAATTTTGGCCGGAAGATTTAAACTTTAACGGACATCTTGACCAGCGAAAGAAACTGAAACTGAAACTCTGCCGCACGGTCCCCTCGTTCCTTGGAAGAGGCGGGGAGGTGGGTGTTTGTCATCTGCTGGTGGACTAACCGGAGAGAATTACAGTGCTTGCCTCGACGGGGAGGGATTGGATTGAATTAAAGCAGCAGGAGCAAACGCTTGCCTCGGGGAGGGAGAAAAAAAGCCACAGCGGAGAATAAACAGAAGGGTAACCATGGTAACCATGCGCGGGAAGTCTTCTTCGCTGCTTTTGTGGCAGACTACAGCGCCACTTACAGGCCTGGCATATGTACTGCAGCGTCTCCAGCGCTTTCGAGCGGCAATGGCCGGCAGTGGCCCAACCCCACATTCCCCTGATAGGTGGAGAGTTGGCCCAATAGCCGTAGCGCCACCGTCCTGACGTCAGGACAGTGTTCAAATCTGGATCAGTTTTTATCAGATCCGTTGCATCCCCTTTTTTAAAGATTTGGGTATGGAGGAAAATAGAGAGGGTTGTGTTTTCTGACACTTGGTGAGTTTCCTGGAACACCGGGGACACATATTCATGTATAAAAGACGTACAAAAGTGCATTTTGCATGATAGGTCCCCTTTAAGACAGACACCCCACCTGAAGATTATAAGATAAGAGTTTTATTTTGACTGTTTTTAGGAGTTGGCCAACTTTGGATTCAGCCTTGCTATTAGTGAGTAGTAGATTTATTTTAACAAACTGATGGACCCAGTAGTAGAGGTTAAATGCTGCCCCCTATATTTCATCGGATCAGGCAGCACAGTAGGCTATATCACATTGCTATTTTAAAGACAGGGCTTATACACTAGTGATACCATGACAAAGGAGGTTCTTTTATGATGAGTTCGTTTTTGCAACATTAAAAATGATACTAAAAAAGTTGACGAGCCTGCATGCACCATACAGTAAGATGATTTTATCCAATTAATCCCCAGTGTAGTCATGTCCTGTGTATTAATTAGACAGGAGTGAGAGGAGGTTTTTAATTGCCATGGTGACGTGCTATCCAGGGAATATATCCTTGTTTAATTACAAGTATGGTTGCAATGCAGCTCAATTAAAATAGAGATTCATTTAAAAGGTTATTCTCAATTCACACATTATATTACACCATTGATTTGGGTTTTTTTTCTCCCTCACAGCCAACCACTCACCCCTTTCCTCTCTAAACCAAGGAATTGTGTCCCAAAACCCAAAGCAGCCTGAGTGCTTTCCTGATTCATTTTCTTAAAAGGACGAAGCTGGGGTATATTTTCTTTTAGCCAAGAACATCTCATCCTTTTACAGTGAGCAGTGATATATTCTGTCATTGTCTGTCAATAACAAAATCACAGTATAGCTTCTGAAGTGTTGCAGTGTGGTTACAAAACCTTCCATGACATCAGTGTGCACTTTCAGGCTGGTAATTGGTGCAAAATTGAGGCTTGAAGGTAAAGGTACACTCTTGATGGTGAAATTGATGGGCCACAGTGAAGAGTATGGAAAACTAGCATGATGTCTCCCAACATTAATAGATGTTGTAAAGGAGTTTGTTTCTTGATGAAATGTTGAACTACGCCTAATGTTATATCCCTGTGTGTTTGGTCATATTCCATATTTTTCAGTGCATCTGTGCGTTGATGTCTATGGAACAGAACCATATCTGAATTCAGACATTACATAACAATACTTACATAGCAATTTCCAAGAAACAGAGATGATTAATTGGATTGGATTGGATTTATGGAATATATTCATTCTTTTAACGCTTACACCCTATACTTAATTCCCCACTTTTCAAAAGATTTCTTAGAATCGAAATGTAAGTTGCTTGAGGTTGTCACAAGGTGAGCTCTTTTATTCCTGACATTACATTGCATTGGAGGTAATGATAGGCAGCTGAAAGCAGGTGCAGCATTATATGGTTCAAGTGTATTTCATAAGCACTTTGTGCTGATTTCTGGAAAAAATGAAATAAAATTCTCTGTCATGTAGACATCAAAGGAACAATTACCTTTATGGAAAAAAATCCCATGTTACAACCCCTTTAAGTGTTAGCCTTCATTTAGAAATGGCACTTTTGTCAGAGCCTATTTTCATGGAAACAAAATCCAATTCTGTTATTTTCTTTGTTAGCACAGTTCTTTTCATGGAAGAAAGAAAACCCACATATTTGATAATGCCAAGCCCATAGAACAACCATCACAGGTTTTCAGACCAAACATGAGACGAATCCCCCTTAAGTATGAATGAAGCTTGATCTAAATTGAACCGCATGAATGAAGGTTTGTAGTTGTCCAGAATAAACTAAAAGACTAGTATTTGATGTGAAATACATGCAGAATGATTTATTAATGGCCTGACATACAGTATATCTAGACCAGTACAAATGTGATCATTTATCAAACTTGTGGACTGAATTTTAATAGCAGCACTAAGAAGATCAAACAATTCACAGGGTCCTCTGAGCCGGACGAATTACATTGGTCTCTATCTGCAGCCGGAGGAAAGACAAGTGCAAAAATATTTTGCATAATTTGGGTGATTTTGAATGGTGGAAAAATATTTAATAACTCAACTGTTATACAATTGAGTATATATATATATATATATATATAATAACTCCTAATGGTCTCAAACTGGTTGTATTACAACATTTATTTCAAGCAAATGCTTTTGAAGAAAAAAAAATAGAGTATAAAGTAACAGTGCTCCCAAAATCCCCAAAATCTCTCACACATTGAAGCTCTCCTATTGGTTATATTACAGACACACATAAGGGAAAACTTGCTTTTACATAATTTTGGTGAATATTACTTATATAAAATAATTTCAATGTTATATGTTGTAATAATACCAAAATCCATCAGCAACTTGCACTTCAAAACAGAAACGCCTTCAAGCGCAATTTGTGTTTAACAAACATGCTGTCAACGTGTTTCACTTTGACATGATGACAGCAGGGGCTGGAGATCAAACCACCAACACTCTGATTGGTAGACGCCCATTCACCCCGCTCCCTTGATGGTCTGATCTGGGGCTTGCCCAGCTGATACTGAATGTCTCTCTTCTGCTTTAAAACTATGTTGTGACCGTTTTTAAAGTCATCCCCAGGCTTTCATTCTTCCATTCCGCAGTAACCAAGCTCAAACGAATTATTAAGCATATATTAAAATGTCAACATCCTCTGAGAACCGAATCTGTTGCCAGTCTGTTTGCATAATCAGAATTGTGACTGATCGCAAAATAAGAGCATACACTGTTCAAAGTCAATGGCACATAAATGACACTCAAGTGGAGAAAGTAGAAATCTGTTCTTATTAACCCTATGAAGAAAAGTGGAGCATCGTGGGTCTGTACTGCAGTGAAATTTCCGTCACAGCTTTTTGTCAATACTTCATTTCAGAAGCCCCTTTCATGGGGAGTCTGATCCTTCCCACTAGAGAAGACTCTGGATATTGCATTTTCGACTGTCAGGGCTACGACTCCAGCCAGCAGAGTCTCAGGGGGAATCCGAGCACACAGGGATCATGGACATACAAGAGATGTTATGAGCTGGAAATGAAGTGTGTGGGACTCGACAGGTTGTGGAATTCCCAGACTTTGGCTGAGCTCAGCATGACTGTATAATTTTTATTTTGGAAATACAACAATGACTAATGAAAACATCTGAGCCAGAGAGGAGGAGTAGGAGGGTGATGATGGAGATCAGAAATCAGACTCTGGGAAAACCTCTTAATTTTCACAGGAAAGTCCTCACAAAAAGCTGAGGAGGCACAGGTAAAACAATATATTATATCACTATAGGTTGCATCTTTATCACAAAACAACCAAGCTAGAAAATGCCTCCTGGAATTAAGGCTTAATTTTGCAAGTTTGGACACAGATTAATAACCAACACTGAGCAGCTTTAATATTTCTGCATCATGTAAATTATTCAAAAGAAAATGCTGACTGTGTGTCATTTGAATTGCAAATGTTGCAACATTTCTATCCCACACAAACAGGAGAATCAGCATGCAGATGAGGCAGATGCAGTATGATAAACCTACCAGCCTGAAGATGGGAGAACCGTATCCAAAGCTTCCTCCTAGATTACGAACAAGACTCCCTGCAGACCTGCCCTGTGAAGATGTTCATACTCTAAACAGCTAAGGCTCTTCTCTGCCAGTGTTCATCGCTATCTGCCTGTGTTGCTGGTACCTTACTCTTTCTCCGCCTCCCCATCCCCTCCTGCATCCCCCACCCCTCTCCCCCTAGTGAGGACTCCTCCTCCACATTCGCTTTAATGTTCACACTTCACTGCAGAAAGGCATTGCATACAGCAGAGGAATGGAGGGAGGCTGCGGTGCTCGGTAAATCCATTCACAATCGCTGTATAATCAGGAGGTTCCCTAAGACAAAACCCTAAAGCAGCATCGATACTGTAGCTGCATATTCAAACAAATGAGCCTGTCTTCAGATGAGGCAGTGCCTGAATCTTCACCATGGCTTGATATCCAATGAGTCAGACCAGGGGATTCAATTTAGCAAATCAATTCAGGAGGGACACTGGAAAAATAATAGTGACAGTGTGGGCATATATAGCGCTCTTACTAATTAATTTGTGGTCAACTTTTGAAAAAGAGTTGTTCTTTCTAAGGCTAATAACTTCAGACATGGTACTTTAGCATTATACTATATATTATTTTCATTATTTTTCAGTGAGTAAAGAGTATGTAAGACATCAAAATAAACCTGGATCCTTACAACAAGGGGGATGTTGCTGAGAATATTCCAGTTAAACGATCCCTTCCTTGCAGAAAACAAAATCTGGGTGCAGGATTTAAGCATCAAGGTCATTTATTAAATTAAGATGGTGTGTCATTTTTCACGAGAGAAATACTGTCCAACTTCAATCCCAATGTTGGTCCTAGAATTATTGGATGCCACCTGAACCCAGCCACACCGCTATCTTTAATTCCTTTGCAAAATGTCAGATATAGTAGTTGAATTCGGTCCTGTCAAACATTCAGAGACACCTGGTCCCCTTTTATAAAATGTACTTTTATTCTATCCTTTTCAAAAATATTACAGGGGATCTAGTCACTCCCAATTCACAGTATAAGGACTAAATAACCCGTTATTTAATAACCCAGTATAATTTGGCGGCATTAGGTGCCTTGTTCATGAGACATCTTATCACTCTTTTTCTTTTGCCTAAACATATAAAGGCCTATGTATCAAGATATGCGTTTTTATATCGTTGGTATCATTTGTGACAACCAGGCGCGTCGCCTGGCCTGTTTTTTCTGTAGCCCCGGACAATTCTCCCTCAATAATATAATACATTAACCGTGCTTTACCTGAACCTCATCATGACACTAGAGAGGACGGCAGGATTGTAATTTCCCGTGTTCGGTGAATGCAACAGAGGCAAGACACCAGACCAATCACCAGAGAGTTGCATGGAAATAAACGTGTCTTATTGGCTGACAGGTACCTCCTGTGACAATGTTTAAACTGTCAGTCGGACTCTGAGTTTTTGAAGATGGACATAGGAAAATGTTTTCTTAAAAAAGACGACAATTCTCAAGTGATGGCTCACACAACAACCCCAGAGCCACCACTTGCGCCAGGTAAACAAGGTATGTAAATGTCAGTAAACTTCCAAGTTATGCGAACATGTAAGCAAAGCATAAATTACAGCTACGTTGTTGACGTTACTTTGAATCGCATGGGTAAGCTAAACCATTAGCAAGTAGCTATAGCTAGCCAGAGATATTAAATTAACACTCTGTCATACAATATAAATGTTATGTTTTTTAGCGTTACCTGGTGATTTCAAAGAAAGCTCTCTGGAAAATGTTGACTTACTGTTCGACATGAAGCTAGAAGCTACCTTACATTACACAGTCACAGAGGAGTGATTTGTAAAATATCCATAAAGAAAAAGTAAATCTGTTTACAGTTCCGTTTCATATGGGTGTTGAGAGATGTATCCATAGATCTCTTAATTTTGCTCTCAAAGTGCACCAGATTGATGCTTTTAACTTCAATATTTAAAAACAAATCTTCCCGGGGGAGCTTGCCCCCGGACCCCCCTAGAGGAGGTTAGGTCTGCCCCCCACAAAAAATAGCACTTTACACCTGCTTACACCAATATGCCGTGAGCTGATTATCGAGCCTTCATTATTTGTAACAGTCGCGGGTACTGTGTTTGTGCGTGTGGGGAGTGTTGCAGTAGAAATGTCCACTGTAGCCCGGTACCTTAAAGGTGGGGTATGTAATTTATTTCAGAAACACTTTTTGTTATATTCCATGGAATGCTCTTAACATCCCGATAGCAATGAATATATTAAATGCTTTGACAATAGAGAACCGCAGTGACAAGTCCTAAAACCCGGAAATAAACTTCTTCCGGTTCCTTCGACAAAAATGCAATGCAATTTCTCCATAGGATTTTGGAAAATAGCTCGAAATAAGGTCTGTGGTTGACACACATTTAAGAGACGGATCACGTTTTGTTTAGTCGGATAATCTCCACATGTCTACCCATCTCTTATCATTTTCGAATCATAAATGTATCGATCATAAATCTATCGATTAGATTTATGATTAAAAAATTAATTAAAAGTAGGGTAGACATGTGGAGATTATACCTTTGTTTTCACTCATTATTTATTGTTCACATTGAAATATTAACAATATACAAAGCTTGGGTAACAGATCCAAAGCTTCAGGCTATGTTTAAGGTGCATCTTCCTTCGTCATGAATAGTGTCAATCCTCAGGCTTAACATGAATACATGACTATTTGTTCAGGGATCTTAGTGATTAACTGCTTTGGAGGGTTTAGATATAATACCGTAGTTGAACAGCATTTGCCTACAGGGAAGGTTATTATGAATTGCAAGATAACCATGATAAGTCTTTCCTAGCTTATTGTTTAAAGCAGATCACTGAAATAAAATAAAGACAAAAGACATAATATATCCTGCTTGAAAATATAACCTTTAATATTTATACACATAACTATGGAGTTAAGGTTGTATTGAACTCACCCCACGTCCTGTCCAAATAAACAAATAAATCAAATGCTGTAAAGTGTGGAATCAAATCCACAGCAGAGGTAAATCAATAAAAAAAGGGTTACAAAAATCTGAAAAAGGTCAAACTGACAGTTTTTATCTTTTTTGAAACTGAGCAGGGGACAAGAATGACTCACGCAACGGAAAAAGGCAGGAACAATGTCATCAATTGGGAGTTCGTGCTGTGAGTCATGTGGTCATGACCAATACCATCTGCTGAATAGAGGCCTCTTGGTGACATATTTTGTAGTGTTATAATACAAATGCACAAAGCAGTGTTCAAATGTATTTATTGTGATTTTAAATGTTTATTGACCAACACATTTTCAGATTTGGTTTCATGTTTTGATGGTAGTTTTGAGAATGAAACACCCACACTTTGGATGTGTGTTCCTCATGCTTCCTGCTATCCTTTTCAACTCAACTCACTTGTCACTACAATCTCTAATAAGGGACCTGTATGGACCAAAGGACAGAGGCGGCCAATCTCCTGCTGTGTGGGGGCACTGACAGCGTGTTTTTTCAGTGATTTTCAACCTCATGTACTGCCTGACTAGTTGAGCCATTTAAGTATAAAGGTACTCTCCAGCACACTCCAGTGAGAACAGAAATGATTTGACCAAAATTAATAATGTTTGACCAACCTGAGGATCCTGAATCCTGAATCAGGTTACTTTCAGATATAACCTCACATCCCTTCATCGTCACATCTGCCTCCCCATGTTCCACTCACAAGCTCTGTGCTGCTGTCAGAGCAAGCATCCATCAACAGACTGCAGGACAGCTGGTCAGACAACAAAGCAAAACAGATGATAGTGTCCACACTGAGGAACACTGTGGGAAAAAACATGCTTTTTATCCATTATTTGGCTTATGATTCGTACTGCTATCGTATTGACTTTTGCGACGTTCAATATTTTCTAGAACATTTTCTGAAATCTGAAATATATCACTGCCCTCAAACAAAATGATTAAAGAGGCATTATTATGTTTTGGGGGTTTTTGCTTTCCTGTATTGTGTATATACAATTTAGTGCATGTAAATGGTCTACAAAGGCTAAAATCCTGCCTGAAACACCTCCATTGGACTCCTTTGTTAACTTCATTAACATAGTGACATCACTACGCAACACTCACGTTTCTATTGGTTGACTCTCCAACCAATTGTACGTGATAGGCTAAGGGGCGGGACATCTCTAAGCGGTTCACCAATCACATCAGAGCAGACTGGGCTCTGGTTTCAGACAGAGGGTGAAAAGAGGTACAGGCAGTATGAGAAAAATAAAGACCTTTAAAATATTAAAACAGGTCAAAATGTCGCAGTAGAGGCACACAAAACTAATATTAACCGGAAAATGAGCATAATAGGGCGCTTTAACTAGTTTTAAGCATTTTCTCCTCAGTATGCATTCATGTATTGACAAATAAAACTGGATTACAAAGTTACCAGACTGAATTAAAGTCAATCTACTACTGGTTCCTTATGTCACAGGACCACCCTCCTTAACAAAAGCACATTGGGGTATTTGGAGGATGCACACAGATTAGTTTGGACAATGATGGATTCTGGCCTCAGTGTAAGGCCAAATTAACATTCAGAAATACCTCTGGGTGTTGTTTCATGGGAGTGTTTCCATAGCAACCGTAGATGGATCACTTTGAACGGATGGCGGAGACACAGGATTGATTTCCAGAAGTAGCATGACATTTCACGAGCACTCGACATAGACATGCAGAGAATTGGTGAATTATTAAAGATGCAGCTTCAGGCAAACAGAATAAAAAACATATTTATTTTGTTATCTTTGACTCAAAGATTTCTCTGTAGAATTCCACCTACAGTAACAATGGAATCTGAAAAGCAGTCTTTTTTTTCAGTTTGCCATCGATAACTAAACAAATCAATCCATACTCTGCTAATGACTTCTGGCATACAGCAACACTCCTCTCATGTATCTTCACTTAACACCCTGTCAACACGAGGAAGACAGCATCCCTCTGCTACGGTCTTGCAAATATTTATATCTAACACAGATTTATTATTTTTAGAAAGGCGTTATAATAAAATGCTGAATATCCCGCA